TATATATATATATATATATATATATATATATATATATATATATATATATATATATATATATATATATATATATATATATATATATATATATATATAATAAAAACAATATATTATTTTATTATCATTAATTCATTAATGTTAAAATGACACCGCTAAACAATCTTGGAGGTCTGCAAATTGCATTGGTTGAATATGAATTGTCTTTTTTTACATCATGTTTTAGTCTAAATTCTATTTTTATGGGAAACTGCAAGTAATTTATTCGATACATTAGCCAATGTATTCTTTACAAGTTTTTATGAACTATTATTCGCCATCAGAAATGTCTTTTTCAAATGGGCCTGTCCTGCGCCGTGACAAATCATTCTTTAAAGTGGTGAATTTCCATTTAGCCTCTAACTTGGACCAAACCATGAAAATATATCATATAAATTAAACATGCCGGCCAATAACATGTCAGGTTCCCTGAAAAAACCTCACTTGAATAGCGAATTTAGTACCCTTTTTCTAAACAGATTAAATGAGTGTTTTGCCAACACTGCGCGTTCAGGCCTTTCCTCAACTTCACGTTACGGCCCTTCTGCAGTGAATGTGCCCTGTAATTATTCTGTTGTTTCTCATGTTAATGCTGTTTACCCCCAAAATGAGCCTGTTATTTCGTCAATAAAGGCTATGTCTGCCTTAAAAGCGCTTAGTTTCTTTGCCACTTCAATGAAAGAGCAAATCTGCTCCGGAAAAAAAGAAAACACAACAAACACATTAAGAAAAAAAAAGCAGAAAATGTCCTTCAGGCGCAGGACGTTTGATTTAACGATTAAAATACGGCAAATGTAGCGTATGTGAGGGGAAAGACAAACAAGAGTAATGTCGGTATTTTAGTATATTGATTTATGAGGTCAAATGGTCTGCAGTGCTCACATTTCGCGCGGTGTACCTCAAGGCCTCCGACAAAATACGCCTTGAATTACTGTAGTTGCTTACAGTATATGGGACAAAATGTGTTTACCAAGCTTGCATGTGCTAAATAATAAGTGTAGTGGGGTAGTGGGAATTAAAACCAGGCCTAATTGCACAAGAGAGAGAGAGGGATGGAGATAGAAACTCGGAAACTAAAAAACGCATATGATTTCAGAGTGACACGTAACTAATAATCTACATAGGCTACAAGACATCAAAGCGGGCAGCATAAAATCACATTTTAATGCATGTTGGACAGTCCTGATCATTTTTATTTAGATTCAGTGAACACTTACAGGATAAAAAAATCTCCAAGAACTAAGAATATTACTTGTTGTCAGCTAGAAGCAAATAAATGTAATTAATAATTCTTCAGTGTTAGCGGATGAATGTGATGTATCGTCCTTCAATCCTATACAAAACAGGCACTTAATAGCATTATTGATTATTAAATTTTTCATTGCAACTCTTTTACTGAAGATTAAGTGTATTATTTCATCAAATTGAATGATACTTGTGTATAATTACTGCCAGTTTGATTGATTTTCGGGAAGAAACTAGATAATAAAATAATTGAGGCCCGTGTGCCTTGCATAAAAGCATATACGCATATTTAATTTCCTGATAAGTTATCGGCCAAGAGTGTAAATCAATAAAGGAAGTTTATTTTAGAAAAACGAACAATACACAGGCTAAACATAACACGCATTTGCAGTATGAAAATAGACAAATAATTAATTATCTAAACAACCCATTGAACTCCTAACAACCTCCTCGTATTCAATTATTCATTCACCTCACTCAATAAAACATTCAAATAAAATTTAAATAAAGAAGTACAACAATATAGCTTACAATTTAATAAGCAATAGTGTAAGGTGTGCATTAATCCAACAATTACAGTGTAAATACAAAAAGCCAAGCCTTTTAGTCTTAACAAGAAAATTAGTTAGTTACTAATGTTAACTAAACGATAAAAGCGCACTGCGCATTAATAGTAGGCTATAACTCGAATTTAATTAAATAATAAATGCAGTTTCCAAGAATCTCACCGCCAGATACACAAAAGGCAAGTCAGGGCAGCAGTACAAAAAGCAAGTGTTCACGATTTCATGCTTGTCGCCAATTGTATGGTTAAAAATAACGATAATGAAATAAATCGACGTTGTTGTTCTCCCCGAAAATCTATTAAAGCGCCCACTCATTTTCACCTTTATTGGTGTCAAAAGGTCCCCTGCTCTAATGGGGGTCCGTCCTTCGAAGAATTAATTGAATCAAAAGCCAGCTAAACTACTGATCCAAAGTAATTCTAAAATAAATAAACCTATTTTGAATAAATAACTCTCTTACACACACACACGCATGCACACACCAAGCAAGGCCATATAGCCTAATTGATCCGCAATATGCCTGACATGGGAGAAAATACACAAATGCGGAGCCTAAAATAAAAGGCAAATACTGGGTTTTTTATGGAATCCACATTTCGCACAAACTTCTTTCTTGTTTTTCCTTTACAAAAAATAAATAAATAAATAAATAAACATTTTGAGGCATCCTGGATTTGTGTGACTGACAGAGAGACTGTTGAAGTGAGACTCCCTGTAGAGACATTTCCTTAAGGAAAGGCAGAAACTATTGTCTTGGACAAAGAAAATAAACAACAATTAGCAGGCAGAAGTTCTGCAATGTAATTGCATGTGTATTGGTGTCATTCAATGGTCGGGCGCATTCCCAAGTGCCTTTAAAGAAATATCGGACCATGCGCGTGTTTCAGCATTAATTAAAACGCGTATTTACGTTTTTTGTTTTTAAAATCGCCATAATTTACGGCATCCAAAGCGCTATAAACGCGCATCAATTTGCCTCCCATACTCTCCCGACAGAGTTGAAAAGCTCTGCGATTTATTTAATAGGCTCTCTTACCTTCAACAGCCGATGACAGAGGCAGCAAAAAGCCGCATAAAAACAGCAAATAATCCATTGTCATAAACCAGAGACTTCGGACATGAAAGTGGAGCTCCAGGGGGAGATTGTAAAATCCTTCAGACCCTCAGTCCAGCTTCTTTCTCCAACTTCAGACGTCTTCTGCTCGGCTCTGTTTCCATAAACCGCAATCCTCCGAAACGCGCCTTCAATTTCAGCAGAGTTTATGTAATCCCAATGTGCAAAAGATATCTAATAAAGCAGCGCTGAAAGAGGTTTAAAACTCATCCACCTGGTGTAAATGCTCCATGCATGGGTATTTTTTCTTTCTTTCCTTTTTCATCAGTGGAGAGAACATGCGTGTCCGTTTATAGATGTTGCACAGTGAATATCCCTATACGGAGAGCAGTTGCTTAAATGTCCAATCCTCTTCAAATGTCATTCTGCTGTAGTCCGGTAATAAAGCGCATCCAGTGAAATCACCTTATAGCCGCTTTACGCGTAAAATCCCTGAGCGCGGTTCACTGCTGTTTCTCTGCCTTTCCATGTGCGCTGGAATGAAGATCTGCGGCTCTGAAATCAAGGAAAGGGTGAAAGAGGGAGAGAGAAAGGCGGTGGAGGCGGTGTTACGCTCAGAATCAGCTGTCAGTCATTAGGTGGCTCCGCCCACTGTGTAATCCGGCGCGGTTGGCGGGATGAGAGCGCCGCTCGGCGGGAATAAAAGCTAGCATGTTTTCCGTCTCTCTCTCTCTTTTTGTGTGTGTGGAAAAGAACAAACCTTATAATATGTTGTTTTACGAACATGTTATGTTACGGTGTGTACATTATAAAGATTATAATACTAATTGTATTTTCACAACTGCGTATAATTGAGAGGTTTTCCACAGAATGGGCTAATTAGCCTGCGAAGTACAGTAAGTAAAACATGTTTTGCTTAATACTTACATAATTATACCGCTAAATGAGCACTGTGATCTTTCATTAGCAGTAGTAATAGTTTGCTTTAATGGTTTCTGAATTATAGAGAGTAGTTTTAGAGCAGGATAAGGAATTGTTGAAGGTTTAGCACAAATTGGAGAAACACTTCAGATTAATCTGCCTTTTCTGTCATGAGTGTGTTATAATTCATTTTAAACTAATGACACTTTGTTAAAATTTGTTTAACATTAATTGGTTATATGCTGTATTTTTGGGAAGCAAATTTAGTCTTTCGAAAATCAAATATACAGTATTTTGTTCTGCACATCCTGGTCTTGTGTCACACATTTTTTTTTATGCAAGAAAAAACGTTTACAAAGATACAATATTAACAAATAGATGAAAAGGGTTGCATAAATAAAATACCAGCTAAAAAAAACAAGTTTAAATGATTTTCACTAAGAGTTTTACATGCAATATAATTGTTAGAGTTTTTAATGAGTTCACATATAAAAACAAAGCCCTTTCTGAAAATAAAAAAGTAAGGGTGTTTCTTTAAAGATTTTCATTTATGGATGTAAAACTTAGACAAAAACCTATAAATTTATAGTGTACAATGAGAAAGATCTACATTCAGAGAAACCAAAAAACAAAATTTTCGGGGAAATACAAAAGCTTGGAAATAAAAACTGTTTCATGAAATCAGAAAAGTCAAACCAAAACACTTTGAGTAAGTAAAGTGTACTCCCTAAATAAGTGCACTCTCAAAATAAATGATTTAGTGTTTTATCATATTGAGGACAAAATGAGCATTTAGGGGAAATATTGTTATTAAATTTAGTTAGTTTGGTATTTAGTGGGTAGCAATTACGAATGATTTTGATTGAGACTAAGATTTTTTTTTTCCAAAGAAGCCAAAACGGTTCCCAATCTATGTCACCTATATTATTCCAAAAACCTATGCAAACAGGTAAAGAGATGCGAGAACTATTTATAACTAAGCAAATATCTTTATTCGACATGTAACTGAGAAAAGTTTGGTCAACAAAAAGGATTATGTTGTCAAAAATAAAAGAATCTAAAGCACCTTTGGGGCCAGATTTCACTAAACGTAGCTATAACACAATCAGGGATTTGACCAAAAACTATGGAATAATCTTTAGGGGGAGTGTTTGTTATACAGTATTTATGTCCCCGCTGCCTCCTTTTCATCTTTTATGAATGTCTGATAAAAGTATTGGATCAAAAAAAAAAATATTGAGACCTCTTTTAAAATATTGGAACTGAATGTTTAAGTTTATTTACTTGTTTTATTTGCTTGGCCTGATTTTCAGCAAATCAAATGTACAGTATGTTGTTCTGTACATCTTGCTCAATTTTTTGTCACAAATCTTTCATCCTCATCGCCCCCTTTTCATCTTTTGTGATCGTCTTGTAAAAGTAATGGATTGAAATACATATATTGAGGCCTCTTTTAAAATATAGGATCTAAAAGTTTAATTTATTTACTTGTTTTGAAACTTTAGGTTTAACTTATGCATTACCTGCTCAACTTTACATGACAACAAATGAATTAAATTGCATTCAATATGACCATGACTATACATCCCTTAATGTTTCTTAATTTTGAAGAATTAAAAAGTGATTTCTTTTGTTAACTTCGATTAGGGCAAATGCCTCTTTCATAAATTCATCTTAATCACAAAGCTGCTTGTATTTTACGTACACTGGCCAAAAACACAAGTTCTCCATCTGATTTAAGCGGATTAAATGAAGTTAAACTGAATTGTTTTATAATCTAGGGCTGCACTATTGAAAAAATCTGACATTGCCATATTTTGTATTTCTGTGATATATATTGCCATGTGAATCCAGCTTTTATTGGAAAGAATCCTTCATGTTAGATTGATTGGGGTGATTTTGTAGGAGATATGATCTCGAATTATACATAACAAATAACCTAGAAGTATCGATAATTAAAAAATAGCAAAAAATAAAAGTGAATTAGAGTTTTCTGGAGTCTAACAGTATTCAGGTACAAATATTAAACAATCCACACTGCATAGTCCTTAGTGTATATGATGTAATCTTTATTAAAGTTATAAACAGTAACTTTTCTTGTGGCTGGATGTTTTAAACTCCAAAATGTTGAAATGTTCACATAACTGTAAAAAATACTGTGTTAGTGAGGAAAACTGAGGCAATGATAGTGATTTTTACAGTACACTTACAGTACACTACTTATTTATTTATTGTTGTGATGTAAGGTCTTAATCAGTTTTGCATTCTGGATGAAAGTTTTTTTAATATAATTAGTATTTAATACAATATATTCAAACACGGCGCATAATATTATCCTCCTGAGAATAATATAAATGAATACGGCTCTCAACTGTATATATGACTAAATGTAAGCTCAATACTGAGCCTTGATTCCCCCTAAATGTTCTATTTAGTTTTCGCTGACCGCCGATTGCCAATACAAGCAAACGTTTCATATTTCAGATCAAGTTTAGATATTTTAACTGTGCTTGAGAAGTCAGGCGCTTCAGGAGACTGGCGTGCTGTTATGTTTGGCGCTGCTTGTAGCTGAATCTATATTTATAATCTTTGCATGCTGACGTCATTAATTACTTAAACTAAAGCCGTATCATTTTTATTTTGCTTACCGAAGCCGAATGATTAAAAAAATACATAAATTAGATTACATTATACTGTATTTATGCTGAAACTGGATATTTATATTAATAGTGTTATTTTAACAATTTAATCAGGCAAAAAAAAGGGTGTTTGACCTGACGTTAATGTACTGTTAGTAAAAGTATGGAGTGAACATCCACATTTCTATCACATACAGTTGAAGTCAGAATTATTAGCCCCCCTTTAATTTCTTGATTTATTTAATTTTTCCCAAATTATGTTTAACAGAGCAAGGAAATTTTAACAATATGTCTGATAATATTTTTTCTTCTTGAGAAAGTCTAATTTGTTTAATTTCAGCTAGAATAAAAGCAGTTTTTAATTTTTTAAAAAACATTTTAAGGACATCATTATTAGCCCCTTTACGCTATATTTTTTTTTCGATAGTCTACAAAACAAACCATCATTATGACTTGCCTAATTACCCTAACCTGCCTAGTTAGCTTAATTAACCTAGTTAACCCTTTAAATGTCACTTTAAGCTGTATAGAAGTGTCTTGAATAATATCATGGCAAATATTATTCACTGTCATCATGGCAAAGATAAAATAAATCAGTTATTAGAGATGAGTTATTAAAACTATTATGTGTAGAAATGTGTTGAGAAAATCAGCTCTCCGTTAAACAGAAATTGGGGGAAAATAAACAGGGCCGGGGTAATAATTCTGAGTTCAACTGTATTTGTTATTTATGAAGCTGCTTTTACTCTGTATGACGGCCCGGGTGAGATTTGATTTATTATGTAGGCAGTGCTTTAATGAAATCGCATGTGCGATCTGAACGAAGGCTGGGTCATGAGAACGAGGATTAGCCGCACACCGAGAAAGTCTTTTAATAAGAATGTTTGTGAGACTAAAAGAAAAAAAAAAAAGCATGTGTGCGACGCCATAAATATGAGGTCGAGCTAAAACCCTGACCAAAACTCCAGGGTCTATTTTGCATGAACGGAAAATCCAAGTTAATAAACCGACTGGCTTGTTGCCTTTTGGTTCAGTGTTGTTTTGCAGAACTTTTATTACTTGGTTATTTGTCATTATATGTGAACTGTTTTAAAAAGGTTAAACGTTATTTAAATTGTAGTTTTCATTGAGAACTTTCTGTATTTTATTGTCCCTATGTTAATAACCATTCTGCGTGTTTTATAATAGTCTGTTTTTGGTCATACAGCGAGATTTCTTAATACATTTTTACTTGTTGGATGTCCATGGAGAGCCTTGAATAAAGAAAAAAAAGGACAGACTGTGCACCTGGCATTCATTACAAGCTCAATAAGTAAAGTGGCAGACTTTTTATTGCCATGTGGACATATGGAAATTTCTCAAACTTACACCCGATCCCCTTCCACTGCTGGCCTGCTCAACGCCGCTGCTAACTTTGATGCCGGACTAACAAACACTAGC